GACCACGGCTGTAGTGCCTACAAGCCAGATAATGATTGCGACTGACAGATACGTGGCGATTGAATTCAGATGAAGAACTTGAATTCGACGGGATACCAAGACTTCGACCGTACGATTGGTGTTGCGTTCCACGTACTCGCGCTGCGGCAGAGCTCTGCCATCCCGTGTAACTGGTGCTCCCAACATATCTGTACTGTTGTCACCAATCCTTTGGTAGCCAAGACCACCTTGGTCTAGAGAGAGACCATGGCTGATGAAGTGCTGGAAAAAGGTTTGGAATGTTTGATCTGCGTGAGCAACAAGCGTAGCATAGTCGAGCAAAGCCTGTGGATCTTTCTTGGCGAGACTGTACATGCTGTATGTCATCAGATCCATGTTCATACCTATCTCGCGATCGCGCATGACAAAGGAATTATCGTAAAGAGGCTCCATGACATCGCCGGCGAATCTTCTTAGGCCGAGAGTAGGGTCTGCAGCTCTGAACATAGAGCCCATAAATAGAACCCCATAACTTGTGGTTATATTCAACGGCCCATCGTATTCCTCATCATAATGCTGCGTCGAATTCCCGTAGGTCAGAGCATGTCGGACAAACACTTCCGACCACGCTGATTGTGCGGGGTCAATAGACCCTATGACCTCGTATGAATGAACTGTGCCGGTCCTTTGGTCCACAACCACTTTGGCATCTGCCGTTTCGACGATTGGCACGCAGCGAGCGGCCTGTAGATCTGGTGCGTCTTTGAATAGTAACGGTTGTCCGTCCTCCTGGTCCGGCCCAGTGACTGTGAGAGGCCTACCAACAATCCATTTCGTAACAAATGGGATTGGCCACTGACTGTTTGCGTTGGAGAAATTCTCAACATCGACTGGCGACCAGTACCCTATTACTGCTGTTTCTGAATCGCCGTTCGTTTCGTTAGAACAACATGCTAGCGTGGCGTCGGTAGCAAATGCTGACGTGTTTGACGGACTGTCATAGAACATCGTACGATTGAAAGAATAATAATCCTTCAAGCCTTCCAAATCGTATGATTCATCAAGGGATTCGGTGTCGTTGGAACGAATGAGCCATGTTGAAGTGTTGGCAACTTCGGGCACTTCCTCGCATTCTAGCCGAGCTCGAATAGCGGATGTTGTAAGCGTTACGTTGTTGGGGGATTGTACGCTAATCGTGTCATTTGGCTGCAGAATGCTAGCAAGATTGAGAGGCACGAAGCTCCAGCCATCATGAGTCCAGGAAGGTTTGGTACCATTGAGTGATAGTTGAATAGCAGCACCTGGTAACCAACTTCTAGGTGGGTCAAGAAGGAGACTATCGAGCACTTTAAATGGAGGTAGTTCTAGTCGAACAGCTTGAAGTCGCCCTGGTGTGGTCGTCACTGTATTGATGATCGGGATCTGTCGAAGCTCTAATGTCCTTTCAAGAACCGAGTGATCAGATATGTTGGCGGCTTGTCGCTCGAAGAGCGCTGACATCGAAACAGTGACTAAGGAGCCAATATCAGCAAGCTTACTGGTAATTGAGGGGGATGAACCATACGAATCTGGCAAAAAACGCTCCCAACAGCGACTAGGAATAACATCCAGTGCTTGTTGCGAGCGGCCTTGATAGCCGCTCCAGCCCAGGTTTTGGATCGATATGTCAGACCTGCTCCGCTGGAAATCGGTGTCGGTTCTCGTGACATCGCGATATATGGCTGAAGGGTTCTAAAGGTTGAATCTAACTGATCCCACCATAGGCCGATTACTATACTGACGACTGTGGGTGCAATAGATATAGGGGCGAATGTAGAAAAGCTCAAGCCCAATCTCGACACATCGGCTTGGTAGATGAAAGCAAGCTGGGATAATCGAGACCTGGCAGAGAATGCGTTCAGTACTAGGACAGCCACAAGAATAAGGATAAGAAAACAGGAAAGGGAGAGCAGCGTGCGCAAGCGGATTACTAAGGGCTGCCGGAAGCTGGAAGACTCAGAGTTTGTGGAAGCTGTTGAATACATTGTTAGTTCTCAGCTCTGGTTATTTAATAGTTGAAAACTTACGTGTAGCTACACAATCACCACTATCTGCCGTATGTAAACGACCGTTCTGCGTGTAGAAAGTGTAGTTTCTCAGAGTTCGATGAAACTCATAGCTTGGTGCACGATGACCATCCCGAAACGCTGACGACCGCAGTGGTTGGGACCGAAGTAACATAGCATGTCCAATAGAGCTACTAGGGTCCATGTTGAGGTCGAGTGGTCGAAATGACAGTCGCGAGACCCATAAAACTGTGACAAACAGCAGGAAGGACACCAAAAATAAGACAGCCAATGCGATCCCAATCTCTCGGAGTACAATAATCCTATCTTCGGTCGTAGTTGCCTCTCCTTTGACAATACTGATAGCAGTTGCACCCGGATCGCTGAGAGCCTCACGAAGACACTCCGTGAAGAATCGCCCTTTAACTCTTGCCGCTTCAGCTATGAATGCTTCGTCATCTAACATTCGGGTAACGTTGAACGTATAAAGGGCGCCAAGCAGCGGACCAAGTCCAAAGAACGATGGCTGGGGAGTTGTAAGGTTCTCATTCGAGTAAGGACCCTCATATCCATCAAAAGCACTTTCCGCGTCTGTCGCTACGCCTGCGGCGTTGAAGTAATCTTTCCAAGTGTCTCGTAGTGTCATGGATTCGAACATAGGAATATCGATCAGCGCCTTCGTAACTGGCTCGCGGTGGATGTTGTCAGATCGTATGGATGTGATGTTCGGCTCTTTTCCATTTCCTATCGAAGCTGTAACGTTACGGTCCTCCAAAGAGTATTGTGATTGACAAAGCAATGCTTTCATGCGAAAGTCAGGCGAACGTTCGTAGGTCCGATTGAGCTCGATCCCACTTCCTGCGGCCCCACTCATCTCTATTTCGAAAACCTTGGTCCATGGAGTGCTCAGAATGATGATGTCGCGGTCTGCGCATTGTCTGGTAGCGTTGTGGCGTGCATATGGACTAGTTGAAGAGACGTTGGCAGGGAAGGGCATTTTACCAATAGGCAGTACTCCATCCGTATCTACGTAAAGCGTAGAAGTGTTTGACCACTTTAGCCCTCCATTCGCGGCTAGGTCGGCTGCAGGATGAAGACTCATTTCGTATCTGCAGCCATCGTCCGAGGATAGGACATAAGTTACCATAGGTTCCGTGCCCTTGTACGGTCCGTGACCCATGACATCGTAGGCTTTGTATCCCTTTGGCTCAAGATCGGCACTCTCTAGTGCCATATTCTGGCATTCTAGGTCCGCATGGAGTATTGTCGTCTCTGCTGTCCAGGACCTGAATTGAGATACCAAATTCGGACCGAGTTGCGCTGTATCCGTTGATGGCCAAAACGGAAGGGTGATAGAAGTGTCCTCGATCCATACGGAAGTAGATAGGTTTCTCATCAATGAAGACATTGTTCTGAAGTAGGTTTCCCTGTTTGCGACGATTGGTAGTTGGGAGTCAGCCCTAGGGACGGTTTTGCTAAGGTCAAGCGCCTTGGTGATTACAACTTCCTCAGATGTAAGAAGTGCGGAGGACAACGGAGATATAGCGAGGAGAGCCATAACGTTGATGAAAGCGGTGCAGACAAGGCACCAGCTGGTTTTACCAACCGACTTTCGTCTGAATATGATATCCAGAAAAATAGCCCACCATGCTCTCGGCGTCTGAAGCACTGTACCGTAGGCACTGACACCTTCCGAAGGTGCCTGGGCTAATCTTGCGAATGGCTCCGTTCTCTTCGCGTCTTCAAACAGAATGACTGTCATTTGAGTGTATAACACTGCTAGCAGGGTTGGTGTGAAGCGCCATCCAAAGAGGATCGCAGAGGATCCATTATCTGTACCAATGCCGTAATGATGTTGGGAGTACCAAATCAGGAGTGATATAGCGATGCCCAAGGTGGCGGTGGTTGTCATCGGAACCAGCAGGAAATACCATCGAAAGGTGGATGGAAGCCAGCTCCCTTTTTGATCCATCGGTGATTGTGCTTGCCACTTTGTCAGTCGCCTAAATCCATAATGTACGCTTGATATCTAACCTGTGCATGGAGCTGAGGTATCAGCTTCAGGCCGAGCATGAGGACACACTCCGATGGGGGACACAAAACGGTCCGGCATTGGATTCATTGCTATCGACAATCAAAACTCAACACACGATCTACAAACTTGAGAAGTAGACATATACAGACTATTTAAGTCATGCACGTATAATACCCAACCTGTACCTGCATCGGCTCTGTGCGTAAATACATTGCGGCTCAGCAACGTTCATTCCACTTCTGACCCAAGGCGATACCGACGTAGTGGGTTTGTCGAGCTCTCGAGGTCATTGTGCAATAATGTAGTCTGCTAAGCGCCCGGGTGGGAATCGGGTGTGATCCAGCGGTTGGCGCCAACAAGCCAGCGTCAAACACGCGCCGATGTGGGAATACCCGGTGGAACGTCGAACGGAGCAAAGCTCAAGTAGGTCGCTTGCTTCTGAGACATTTTGCAAGAGAGACGAAGGAGCCGCAATAGAATAGCAGGTTGGCGCGCGTTCGTCGTGCGGGCGAATACTACCTAGGTACATGGTCGCTTCTCGCACGACCCCTGTTGAAGCTTCTAGCGGCTACTAACCACAGATAGCGTAGCGTCCTGTCATGCGAACAAGCCAAACCCTTGAGTGTTAGGTAGCATATTTCCGCGCTCTAGCTATGGAACGAGATAGACTTGAAGTATGTAGGTGTGCTGGCTCCACGATTCTCTTTCACGTTCACTTCGCTGATCACTGCGACGCAATGCCTTCTGCCTGACACCGCACGAACATCATCTGATCCACTAAGATAATTGAGAGAGCGTGTTTTCCGTTTCAAAACTCGCAAGCATGTTCGGCCATGACCTTGGTTCCTGCGCGCCTTTCTATGCTCTTCAACTCTCACTCTTCTCAACACTCACAACTTAATATCTGGAACACTTCTGACCTGTATAACATGAGGAATCGCATGCTCAACAATTCCAAGGAAGCCACATCACATGAGAAGAAGCGCGTGGCAGATGTGGGAAAGTTCTTGCTGGCGGCCGATGTGGAGGTGAGAACGCCCAACTTCGCCGATATGCCACTGAGCAGCGACATTTCGACGCGTAACATTCAGTAGACTTATAGTCCAAAACTGCATAACAAGGCTCATAGAAGATTTGTGGAAGCTATAGTAACGAAAGTGGAAAAGGACCGCGTGAAGCTACTTCGTGAACAGGACAAGAACTTGAAGGGTCTTCTCTCGCGGATGGTCAAGACGAAACCGAAATCAAACACACACATTTTCGATTTTGAGAATAAACAAGAAACTAAAGAAACTTAATACTAACATCCCTCTAGAAGCAGATACTAAAGCTCCCAGTGTTGCCGATTTTGTCACCAAGCAAGCGGATGCGAGCGATTTGCAGGCTGAAGGTATGGAAATCAGACGTTTTAAGATCAACCGAGCAAGAGACGACACTCTTAGCTTCAAACGGAACGCCGGGGACGCTCGACGCGGAAATCCCACTCGACCTGTCTTGAGCCGTGCGCTAGCCGTCGAACGCTGTGCTCTTGTACGCGACGCCATCATAGAGGATTCGACCGTCGACACAATCATCTACGAAGACGGCATAGACGGCAACACTGTCGCACGTTTCATCGCGTGCTTCTCGGTCCAACCTGCCTACTCACGATGTTGTCGAGATCTCAGACGCAGGTCACCAGGGTCTGCTGGCCACAAAGATAGAATGGTCTATGAAAGAACTGGAAGATCTTTACAAGTTCGCACACATGCAACGGGAGATTGCGACATGTGCGACATGGTCATTGACCGAGTTCACGAGGAGCTACATCACCCCCAGTATTGCCTAAGACGCTCCATAACTGGTATGAAGGCGGCGTTCAAGCTTTTGGATATTAGTCCTGCGTTCTTGAACCTCCTTTCGAAATACGAGAAAAAGGGTTTCGAGTTCTTCGCCGAAGTTTGGGTTACGACAATTGAAGACACACTGGAGTTGCTGAAGACGTCCGGAATCGGTAGTTGGCGCCACCAAGTCAAGCATACGCTAATCGAGAAGCTGGAGTCTGATGGGGCATCCGAAGCGAGCAAGAACAACACAGCCGCAATCTGCCCACAATACCATCATCGTCAAGGCTCAGAGGTAATATGCTGCAAGTCGAAAGTACCCGAAACGCTGACGGTGGTTGCCAGCGCTATGCAAGAGCTACCCATTCTACCACCAACACCCAAGAAGCAAGTCGAGCCTTCCAAGTGCCAGCAGTCATCTAAGAACTTCAAGCGAAGGAGGCTACGGACTGACAAGGTAGCCTTTGAAAAAATCGAACGTAGAGCCAGAGAGGCGAGTGAGGGTGTACATTCTGAGTCGAACGACGAACGACCCAAGTCGAGGTTCCAGAAATCTCAACAAGAGCTTCATGACAACTGGAATGAGTACAAGGGCATCTGTGATACCGAAATCTTGTCAGAAGATGAAGACTGCAACGCGATCGTTGTTCGTCTTCCTGAGGTGTACAGCAAGGCTCGTGATTTCTTCCGAAGCAGCACTGGAAGTTATGGAGAACCATATAAACATGCCCATGTTTTATCTGGCGCGAAGCAACGAAAGCAGAATACTCGGAGCTCCGATGGTTTGAAGTACCGCGACAAGGGAATGAACCTTGTCAAGGATACGGCGGAGGTGCAGCGCAAGAAGGTAGCAATCGTCGAAGAGAGGCTGCAAACGTTTCACGACTACGGTTATGTGTCGGACAGCGGGAAGCTTCGAGGGGGACCGAAGACTATGTCTAGGCTGGCAAGTAGAGACGTTGAAATGATGGACAAGGATGAAGGTGACCACAGGATCTGAATACTGGTCAATGTAGCGCGGCGACAAAGGTGGTGGTCGTTCGAGCCAGGATGCTTGTGGTGATGTTTGGGCTGAGGAGCTGTTTACGCAACCTAGAGCACCTCATGTTAATGCGGTAGGTCAGCGTATATCAGGGACTGCCTAGGTAGTGTGCCTAGAAATCACCACAGCAGATGTGGTACACAAGCATGAATTCAGCAGCGGACTTGGAGAACAAGACCTACCCAGTGAATCTGAAGAGGATGCTCTTGGAGCTGGTTTGGAGTAGCGCAATAGAAGACGGTAAACACAATGCTTCCATGGTGCACATGCTATCGGTCAAAGGGCAACAACCGATGGTACCTTCGTGATGTCGTTATAGCGATACCTACGTAGTGCAGGTGGTCAGTACCTAGAGTCTCGGGGATTTACGCGCGTATCGTAACATGGCCAAGGGGATGTGGAGTGTCGGTCAAACTGGTTTCAGGAGTCCAAGCCATCGACCTTCCGTCTTTCGCTCCAGAGCACTTATCTGATGTTCTGCGGCGAACGTGCAGGCGTTGATTGAGTCAGCTCTCCCGAGTTCTTGGCCCCACACACGCGCGCCAACGTCATCAAGCCTCGGTCAAATTCGCGTCCCCTTCTACCTGAACCTGCTCATTTCCTAGCCCTACAAACAAGCTCAATTACAAATACGCTTGCCACAACAACTGCCGACTCCTACACAAGACGTCGATAACGTACCAAGGCCACCACGAAGCTGAATACCACAAATGGCGATAGCGCCTCGAATGTTACCCCGGAATACAGCCGGTGGGGCAGCTAGGCGCATTAATCTAGGAGATTGCGCCGTAAATTGTCAGTTTGGCGTTAATCTGTTGGTCTGTGCAGGGTATAGCGATGGTACTCAGGTACATGCTTGTGATATAAGTGTACTTTGGTTTGTGCATCGTTTCCCATTTTGATATCCCAGCTTTACATTGCTTCAACATCGTCCTCAAGATGCAATTCACCATCCTCGCCTCTGCAGTGCTTGCACCTCTAGCCGTCCTAGCTGCTCCAGTCGAGTTACACAGCAGGTCAGACATACTGGCAGCACGCCAGGCGCGTCCCACAAAGCCAGCACCATGCGTGCGCGCGATGAACACGACCGAAGAACAAACTGCGAAACGCGCTGACGCCTTTGCCCAAGCCTTTATCTACAAGAAAGATATCAGTGAGGCATTCAAATACATCTCGCAAGACTATATCGTAAGAGAATTGTGACGTCTACAACAGGATCATCGACGACTAACTAAATCATGAATAGAACCACAACCCCCTCGCACAGAACGGATCTGACTCCGCCTGGAGCATTCTTTCCCCAATTTGGGCTTCGCAAAATATCACACCGTTACGTACAGCTTTTGAGTACCCGCAAAGCTGGCTCAATTACCGAACAGGGAGTTTTGGGGAAGTTGTTGACCGGTTTCGTTGGGAGGGCGGATGTATCGTCGAGCACGTAAGTTTTGCATTGGTGCTGAAACAGAATTCTTGCTAACTCTGCAACTTCTAGTGGGATCAAGGAGAGAGATTCCCAACGCTATACGCTTAGAAAGCCGATAGTTCATGTATAAAGAGACATCTGGGCGCCTAGACTAAAGAGAACGTGTACATAGACGAAATTGAGATGACAATATGAACGTATGTCAACCGCGGGCGCCAGAGTACCATCACAGACTGAGCAAAGGAAAGTCCTATACCTTTTTCATATGTATCAATCGCCATGACGCCAAACTCATCCCTCTAGATTTTTAACAGACCACTACGTCCGTGCATGGGCATCGTTTCTTACCATACCCAATCTCACTAAGTCAAACCCTCCCTCCCTTCTCCTCCGCACCCAGGTGTTGTGTCCCATGACTAGTGCAGATGTCGCACACTCACTCGACTGAGCCCTAGCTCATACATCGATTATGGACTTCCCTTTACCTTCGTCCTTGACATCGCACTCAGGCCGTAGCTGCTCCTCGGAAGGTCTGGCACTTGCATCGATGTATGGCTCCGCATCAGCATCAGTATCAAGGTAGTCCTCTCCACGCAACAGAGTGTAGCGCTCTCCACCCTTACTTGTCTCCTTGTTCTGCTGGGCGCCCACTGTGAAGTTGTTGTGGCAGTTAGGGCATTCGTGCACCAGTGGAGCAGCGAACAAAGCCCACACTGATCGAGACTTGTGAGCGAAGAAGTAGAAGTGAACAAACCTAATAACGTGTTAGCTTGTGACCTGCTTGTTGGCCCTCAAAAGAACTTACATGTTGACGATCATAGGAGCCGTTGTATATCCAGTCAATAGACCATATCCTGGCGCCCCTAACTCACCAATCTCGACCGCCCAAATCGGAATGAGTATCGCCAGATACGTGATACCCGCCAGTCCGTCTAGAAGTGTGAATTTGGGCCCTGGTACACTACCACGCCTTCGTTGGTGGATTATGCTCACAGCAGACGCAACAGCGGTCATAGCGAGTGGAATATAGCCAAAACAGAATGCCGTTACATCGCGGTGATTGTACCAGGAATTAGACTCGAGGGATATGATCGTCGTAGCAATGAGAAGAGGTGTTGCGAGCGCGCTGGTAAAGAGAGTAAGGGTACGCAAAGTGCGTTCTTGAACCACAGCCATCTTTCCTATAGAGTGGACTTTCCGGGTTTCTGGATGGAGGTCGGGGTGAACAGTGTTGCAGTTTGACAGAGATGAACGATACTGTACAATGAAAAGAAGTTGAGCCTACCAGCCTGACAAGTCAAGTATGAAGTATATAGCTGTTGCACCATCTCCCAGGCAACAACAAAAGTACATGTAGCCGCAGTCGCATTGGAGCCGCGTGTACATACATAGCGTCTTGTAGCACTGCCATCCAATTGATCCCACCTTTTCCGATCAGCAACCGAAAGGCCCAACAGTCGTGAGACAGCCGAATCGTGTGTTCTCCCGAGTACGGGTTCTGACCAATCAACAGTACGAAGGGGGTGGCTGTGTTGGCTGTATTCGGTATAGCGCAAATGTGCGGTTTACTCGGGTCCTGTTTGGACTTGCTACTCCGGGCCTCAGCGCATGGATGTACGGTCTTTGAGAAACTGCCTTGCGAGACGGATTACTGATTGTTGTTATTCTGTCTTGCTTTACCGTAGAAGAGCCTTACGAAGCACGTGCCATCATCACTACCGCATCTACTCTATCATCACGGATGCGAAGAAGCTTGTTTTCTTTTTGGTAAGACATCTACGACAGTTCCGAAGGCGATAATCCCGGCATCTATGGTGCACCCTCCAACATCTCTTGGATAGGTCTGTGGAATCGCCTTTCTCAATGCTTGAGGCGTGTCACCAGAAGTAATGAGAAATAAGACTTGTCAGCAACATCAAGACTGAAGAAACGCAGCAGACTAAGAGCGGCTTGGATGAGCACATGGATACAGGAAAGCGCGATACGTGTAAAGACTGTGGGCCTGACTAGAAATCCTTCGAGCTCCGAGCACTCATGGCCGACTAGCAGGCTCGATGTTGGTAAAACCCTGAACGACTGTAACAACGCACGCGTAGTAGTCGATTAAACAAAGTATACCCAGTCTTTCGTCGCCGTAACATTGGTGTACTCCTGATCCTTCTAAGTGGCAGATGGGAACAATTCATAGAAGGCGGTCGGAACACTTTTCCTATCTGGGCCGATGACGCACTTTTATCGATAAGATCGCGTTCTATCCATAACAACGCGAAGCCGACCGTTCCGATACATGTTGCGATGTAAACAAGGACAGAACACTAAACCTACGGGACGCTACTCAAGCTACTATGACCAACCAATAGCCGCTAGAGAGATTCTTTACCTTCGCATGCGATCAGCGGGCGGTGGGCGAATCGAGAATCGCCAGCCTAATTCCAGGAACGCGTCCAAATCTAACGTCACCATCCAGGTGCTCGCCCGTGATCTCAGATACCGCGTCTCTTACTTCACTTACCGCTCCCGAGAGACAATGGCTTCTCGAGACAGCAACACTTCCCTGAGGCGATCTTACTAGACACCAATTTCTGCTAGGACAAGTATGCTTGTAGTCATGCGTTACAACATCACAGAAGCTTCAAAGTGTGAGACAAAGTGGCTTGCAACTAAATTCAGATATATACAACTTGCGAATCCTACTAGCCATGTCTTTCTCGACAACCATATCAAAGACTGCAACAGAGAACAATCTAACCACGGGCCAAGGTGAGTCCGTAAGCCGACAGGATCTCGTTGACGGGCTGGAAGTAGGTTGTGCCACCGGATTGGCAGTTGCCAGAGCCTCCGGAGGTGACACCCTGGGCTTGAGAACCAGAGTACCCTACATATCAAGTCAGTATGTGTACCATGGGGAGTTGGCATAGGATGTTGCTTACAAGAACCGCCGGAGTCACCGGGCTCGGCGCAGACATTGGTCTGGGTGAGGCCAGTAACACGGCCCTCAGCGTAGGAGACGGTAGCTCCCAGAGCGCGAACGGTACCGCAGTAGACACCAGTGGTGGAGCCGGAGCGGCAGACACTGGATCCAGTAGCGCCAGCGGTGCTGCCTGAGATGGCGATTGTGCCGCCGTTGTAGTTGTTGACCCTACCAGCGTAGGTGTTTCCAGTGGTACCGCGGATGTAAGAGTAGTCTCCGTTTCCTGGGAAGACGGATCCAGCGAAGGTTCCGATAGTGGTACCGGAGGAGGTAGTGGCGGTGTTGCCGGTAGTACCGCAGTGACCAGCAGAAACGAAACCGCCAGTGACAGAGAAGCCGACAGAGCATCGTCCAGCTCGGTTGATGTAGTAGGCATCACCACCGTTGACCGTGACAAAGGTGGTTGGCAGAGCGTCAACGGTCTTGACCTCAAACTCGGACTCAGTAAGACCGACCTGCTTGGCCAGCTCCTCAGCCTGAGCAGTGCTGTCTGCAAGGGCCTCGAGGATAAGCTTGTTGGCGGCAATGTCGACATAGTATGACGCAATTCCGGTAGCAGCCTCCGAGCGCTTGCCAAGGGCCGACTCAATGTCGAGGTTGTCAAGTGCCTTCTGGGCGTCCTGAAGCTTGGAGAGAGGAGTGTCAACGACCAAAGCAGTGGCACCAGCAGTGGTAACATCGGATGTCAAGGCCTCGTCAGTGACAGCGACCTTGAGCTCGCCATCGACGAGCCAGGCACCACCGAAGGAGCTGCCAGCCTTGGTACGGAGCTGCTCGATGACCTCGGTGGCCTTGAGCTCGCGAGCAACACGAACATGAGCCTGCTCAGCGTCGAGTCCCAAGTCACGCTTCATGGCAGCGAGGATCTCGGGGTGAAGGCTGTTGGCGGCCGTGGTAGGGGCGCCGTAGACGATAGGCAGGAAGACTGCCAGGGCAGCGAGGAATCCGGTGAGCTCCATGGCGATAGTGTTGAGAACAAGACTGAAGAGACGAGGTGTCGATGTTGCAGAGACGAGATCCTAAGAAGATGAGTCTGCGGCACTGATGGAGTGATTCAACTTGGACGAGAACACATACCTATACTTATACTTGGTCCAGCTTCGCCGTTGTGAGTTGCATCATGCCCTGGCCATCACCATCCAAGATAGAGCCCTAACTTGCATCCGGCGCTACGAAAAGTCTCCTTCCTCATCCGCTGCACGGTGTTGCTACGCGATCCAGCGGTATCAGAAAGGTAGTCCGTAATAGGCATTTCATAAGAGATCCAAATTGCATCAGCGGCAACCAAAAGATCTCCTTCCTCATCGGCCACGAGGTATCGCTACGTGTTTCAGCAGCATCGGAACGATGATCCCCGAAAGGCACCTCACAAGACACCTATCCCATCGTGTTAATCCCCAAAAGGCACCTGACAAGACATCGACCCCAGGGCGTGACTTCGTATCGAAACAGCACTTGTTGACAGGAAACTGAGCAGACTGCATGTACCCCTACGCTACACCATGCCAGTGGCCTAAAAGGAAGGAGGTAGAGATATCGTAGAACTCCAGTAGTATGGAATTAGAAAGTCGCTCGGATCATGTGCCAGCCTTAGGCCATCACCCCGCACGGACGAATCGTAGATGGAGAACCCCTACACACCTCTTTACCATACCTTCCCAATTGAACATACATTCCGATGCCAAGAGCCAAGACCTTTATCGCTTGTAATATCGAAAAGACGTCTAGTAGATAGGAGCTTTGCTACGGCTGCTCTGATTGGCCGACCCCTCATGGCGCCATATTCGGGCGTTTCATCCTCTTGGCAAAGATCGAAGGCATAGTCGACCTCGTCCTTTAGTGCCTTGTCGATAGCAAGTTCCGCCTATAGCAATAGCTGTGCATCGTATCGGCAAGGGTCGCGCTACACATGAGTGAAGATCATAGAGGCTGGATTGCAGCAAGATGCCCGCTTTGGCCGACCAGAGGGTGCGCAACGTCCATCGCCTCCCACGCCCGTCGAGGCTAGCGAAGTACCGGATCGAGCACCTTCGTGATACGCCTCAGTGAACGCCTTCCAGCGGAAGCGGCCTTACCCGCAATGATCGACCGGTAGTCTTTGGGCGATGCTGTGCCAGGAACGCTCCCCGTATCGCCTGGGTGAGAATAAAACAAGGCACCGTAGAGATATCGAAGTGATTGATGATTCGACAGCTTGACGAAAGGCGCGCACGTACGGATTAGGAAGTTGAAGACATCGATGCACTTGTGCGCGTCGAGCCAGATGCGCCGGAAGGAACCTCGTAAGACCCCACATGGACCCATTGCCGTGCGGGCTGCGCCGCTGCGGGCTTCACCTTATCGCATCCTACTCGCATCCTGCTCGCCACGTTGAGCCCATCTCGAGATAGTCAGGACTATCCTACATCTTACACGGACCAATCAAATATGAGGCGAAGAAATGTGGCCAAGCTTGCATCAACAACAACGGTTTCTAGCTGTCTGTCTTGACATCCGCACAGCGCGCTTCGATGGCATGGTCGCTCACACCATTGTCCTACTTCCAACTATGCTGATCATTGGCTATATGTAGATTTCATGTATCCTGATCATGCTGATTACTGATATTCCTTTCACATCTCTCGAATCTCTCAAACTTGTCCTCTGCACACTTCGAGCGCCCGCTTCATCGGTAGCTGCCATAGCAGCATCGTCAGGCGGTGGCTGTGGACCATCTGCCACGTGGAAGCAAAGAGAAGCGTCGACGAAGCTGAGGTCGTCATCAGTTTCTGGTCTGAAAACGGTAATCTTGGTGATAGTCTTCTGGCCGAGCTGCGCTTTGTGCTGCATGAGAAAATATGCAAAGGTAGCACCGTTAGGGGAGCCTCTTCTGTCTTAGTCTTTGGAATCAGTTGTTGGTGTTAGAGGAAACCTACCGAGAAGCGCATGACCTTGGTCTGTAGTAGTAGAGAAGCTAGTTCCAGGCCACTCGCTCAGCTCGGCACCAGCATCACGTAGACAAGAAGCGATGATCTGGTTGGTCAAGTCGTTGGAGATGCCTATCATGAAGAAGTAGCGAATGTTTCTGACGTTTGGGTTGTTGCGAACCCAGAACGCCCACATAATGTCTGAAAAGGCACGGAGCTGGGGAAGATCGTCTCGGTTCGGCTCTTTTGTACCACCACCCCAAATGCTCTTAGCAGAGGCTAAAGCACTCTCAAGGAAAAGACCATAGATGGCGCCGCCTTTGGTGTTGATGCCAAACTCGAAGTGTGCCTTCGTTGCCTGTTCAGATATCAGCGAGAATGTGATTATCATGTGAAGGGAGACTCACGCGGTACTGCTTGTCGTGACCTGGAACGCTGTACCACTGGTTGATGGCCGGAATCTGGTTGCCCTTGTCATCCCTGTTCTCTGGATTCCAATGTTCGATCCTGTAGCATTGATTGTCTCCGCCTTCTGACGCTGGTTTTCCGTCAAGTCCGAGTGACCGCATCGCGTGCGCAAGGTGCCAGTGCTCAGAAAAACTGCAGCTGAACGTCGATGGGCTAGTTTCTCGCCAGTACCAGTCATGAAGCTCAGTCTTGAGATCGCTGTTGTACCGACTCGCGGCAGATGGGGGTTCGCGAGTGTCTCTAATTTGACGACCTGCAACCTGGTCGGAGCCCTCGAGAGCGCATATTAAGGCTCCCCCTTTGGCTGCGCTCTTCTTCCAATCCACCTCTGTAGCGTGATCGTCATCCCAGAAAGCGACCGCAGGGCGTTCTTCGTTCGGTTTGCGATTGATCAAAGCTGGGGATGTGCCACTGACATTGCTGTTGAAGACGCGTGTGGATGGCGAAGGAGTCTTGATGGTTCCTGCAGTGACTGAATGTGTGGCAGCGGCGATGGCGAGAACCAAGGCGAGCTTCATGTTGTCGGTCGCTAGAAGAGGAAATGGAATACAAGGGAAGGTGCTGGATAGGACAAAAGTGCAAGGCTAGCGTCCGTTTCGATGCTGTCGCAGTGACTTCATGGGTGAATGAGCAATTTTTCAACATCGTGGTCCACGCACAGCACTAGAAAATTACTGAGATTACAACATAGTCAGTCAGTCGCATTGACTTGCATTTCCAGTCTCGCGCAGCTCACCTTACCATCAGTCTCGTCCATTGCTCGTCATCACCATACGACCAATGCCATCGATTCGACTGCTGTTGCGGATCTAATTATCCGTCTTTGTGTCTCTCTAAGCGTTCCTTACCTTTCTAAAACACCACGTACAATGCCCCCATCTGCTGCGGCATCGCGTCTCTTTGCTACCATCGTACAACATCCGGTCTTACGTTTGCTGTAAACATCCAATGAATAGAGCGTTTCTCCATTGGCTGTCTGAATTGATCGAAAACTACGAGAGTATTCACGCCAAGTCACGATTGCATTCAATCGCTGTTGTATTTTGAACGTCTGTTAATCCTGCCTTCCGACTTCAATAAATATTCATTTTACAATACATATGACCATCAGGCTCGAGCAAACTGATTAGCAGAAGACCAAGGCAGAACAACCCTTCCAAGAGCACGGAACAGTAATTTGTCGAAGCCAGCAGGAACCGTTGATTGCTTCGAGGGCCTTGTCTCAGCACTGAAGTATAAGTGGCTAACTGAAAAATGGATGGCAGGATGGTTGATAGGGAGTATTTCTGGCGGTATGCAGCCGCCCGCTCTTTCACCTGAAGCACTGGCCACGCCTCTGCCTACGAAGAGTTGCCTCACCTTCTCGCGCCTTTCTCACGGACCCTTACCCTCACCAACTTACTAGTGCGCTTGCCTAGCACCTCCCTTCCATATGACCCCGCCATCCACTCGCATAGTCTCTTTTGCACCACACCGCTCACTTAACCTTTCCGCCCATTCCTCAACTCGTATATCTCCATCGCCCTTTCCACCACCAGAGCAATTGCGAACGACGGCTGTAGCTCCCGAGGATGCGGTTGTCACTCGTCGCTCTGCTGGCATTAGCCTCCACCGGTAGCTATGCCAGCAGCTTCCCGTCCATCGAGGCAACTTCCACGACTGAAGACCCTCTGCTTCCTAGGGAGCCTCAGGGTATACCAACTGATCCGATTTTGATCACATCATCTGTGCGCGGTACCCACATCAAAACTTCCATCGCTCACAGCAACCCGCCAGTTGCCTCGAGTGTCGTTCCGCCAGGTGTCTCGAGTGTCGTCGTTCCGTCTCACAGCATCATAACATCGGTGCAAGATCCTGCAAAACCTTCTTCTGTGGTTCTGAGCAGCCAGTCATCATATCAGATGACCTCGTCTCACATAGAACCTTCGGCACCAGCGCCTACTCCTCCGTCTTCAGCTACATCATCCCCTTGGCTGTCCTCAGTACACGCACCGGCCCCACCTTCCTCTGTCGTTTGGAGCGATCAGCCAAGCTCTCAAGTTGCATCTTCCCAGTGGGTACCTGCTCCCTCTTCATCAGCGACTTGGAACAATCAACCGTCTTCCCAAGGAGGTTCAAGCGTTGTAGTTCCATCTCAGACTGCGTCTTCAGGCTCAGCAAACTCTGCTACACCATCCTCTGGGATCTCTACTCCGCCACCTTCTGGAATAGTTATTCCAACACCTTCTGGAACTCCAGTTAAGCCATCTTCTGGTACCCATGCTGCACCATCTTCAGGGACCTTCGCTGCACTACCTCCCGCGAGCTCTGCTTCCGGTTCCTCTACACCTGCAACTTCTCCACTCGCAGGGTCATCGGCTTGGTCTAGTGCTGCAAGTAGCTCTGTACCATCTTCTGCCGTCTCAGCAAGCTCAGTTACTGGATCATCCGCGATCTTGTCCTCTAGAGTATCGAGCTCTCCTGGTGCCTCTGCCTCCCCTTCGAGCGTCTGGAGTAATCCTACTGGTAGTACTACAGCTACTGGGTCTTCGGTGCCACCTGATAGCTCTGTGTCTGTTCCCAAATCATCTGCTCAGCCTTCTGGTTCATTTTCCACGGTGACTTCTAACTCGCCAAGTAGCTCGGCTGCACAACCCTCGAGTGGTGCAATCTCAAGCGACGATCCAACTTCGGTCCAGAGTAGCAGCACTCCAGGAGGTATCATCGTCATTCCTCCTGGTATCTTGACCAGCAGCACTCCAGGAGCTACCCCCATTATCTCTTCTAGTATTTCTGGTAGCAGCACTCCTAGCGGCATCCATCTTTCGAGCCAAAGTATAGGGCATTCTACTAGCACTCCCGGTAGCATCAATCCTCCAAGTTCGGCTGGAAAGCCAAGTGGTAGCACTCCAGGCGGCACTAGCCCATTCCCCATCGTAACACCGTCTAGCAGCAGACCAGGGGGCACTGGGCCAGTTCCTACTGGAACGCAGTCTAGTAATCCTCCGGGGAGCGTTGGGCCGTTTCCTATTGGAACTCCATCTAGTAGCACTCCAGGAAGCATTGGACCAAGTTCTAGTCGGACTCCAACTGGCATCACTTCGGGAGGAATCTTTTCCAAACCTACTGGAACTTTGAGCAATATCCCCCCTTCGCCCACCACGACGGGCTGTCCCCAAGAGTGCTCTTCGTTTGACTGGTGCAAAATCTACTGCGAGGGATGGCCATTTCCCCGCCCGATAGATGAACAGCCGCCAAATGAATGCCTATTGCCCGAGAATCGTGCTTGGTGCCACCCTTGGTGGTTTGGTCCGGTGGACATTGACGGTAGTGATGGTGATCCAGACTCTCACTCGGATAGCGACCCCGGTTGCAAAGAAAACAACTGCATTGCTGATTGCATCTCGTGGAGACTTATGACTTTCTTGCTATTCAAGCGGCCTGTATGTCCTTGTATCCCGACGAAGTGTGACAAGGATGGTGATAGCGATAGTCCAAGCGATAGCGACAGGGACGATGACAAGGGACCCAAACCCAAGCCAACGTCATATCCCAAACCCAACAAACCAGAGTGCAAACTACTCGGTTGCGGATACGGGTGGATGGGTTTGAACTACGGGCCTGGATGTCCTGGTGTAGACTTCGAGCTAAATATCCCTTGCGGTCTCTTTGGGTGTTCCCCCTGCACCTTCTTTGGTAGTTGCCCGGGCGATAAGCAACCCGTCAACGCCATCTTGGGCTACGGCGGATACTGTCGAGGAGAAGGATGCTCACCCTGCCCACCGGAGCTCTGTAGTCGTCCAGGATGCACGATTCCTGGAGGTTGTGGACCGAAGCCTGGTCCTGCGCCAACTAAGCCCGCGGATGCACCAGATCCGGATCGTTGCGAGGACAAGCAGCGCACTGTTATCACAGAGCGGTTTGTATTTTGTACAGAGGGGTTTGATATTTCAGCTATGCCTTCTACCTCTCGGGGTACTGGTAGCACATCGTCTACGATGATTTCATCAATATGTGTACCGTTAATCGATGCTACTCAGACCATCTGCGGGCCAGCCTTTGGATTCGATACTACTACGACGAAGACCGGCACAAACACGCTCACCTCCGATGCTCCAGCATGTACTCGAGCGCCGCTTTCTCTAGATGATGATGAGGGAAATAACAATCCCGACGATTCGTTGTTTGAAACGTCGAGCATATTTGCCAGCAACACCACAATGTTTGCAAGCTCGACTTCCAAGGGCACTTCTAGTATGACTCCCCGCAGCTCTTCAACAGCGCCAGCACCGAGTCATACACCCATGGATAGGAACGGTCATTGGAAGGTGAATATCGGTCAATGGATGTGGGACGACTATTCGGAAGTGGGATGGACGCTGTACGATCCCAACGGCTTCGAGGCTGGTAAGCACACGACACGTGGAAATGGCCTCAAGGAGATCAAGGAATATATCCAGTCGGTGAATCGTCCTTTCGGTGACTCCATGCCTTTTGGAGTCGACATGACCGCCTCACAGCGTAAGCGAAACTATACAACTTTGTCTTTCTTGTGCTAACCTTTTGCAGCCCACGACCACGATCACTCTAGAATCACCTTTAAAATTAAGAAGGAGGTCAAAGGCTGCGGGGAATGTTCGCCTCACATGACGACGGAGGACTACACCGAGAGCCGGCCATTCGAGATCAATGCTTGCGAAAAGTCTTGCTCAAAACAAGGAAAATCTAGTCCTTTGAAAGCCCTGTCGGATTTATGGTGCGATGACCTTAATACGGCCGATTGGGAGACTTTGGCCAATGGTTGGAAGCGCAGTTTTAACTGTGGTTGGAAGGGTTTTGATTAAGGTTTTCGTCATTTCTGAGTCAGTGTGATAGAGCACGTAGATGGAAGGTTGCTTTGTGCAGCCAATAGAGCGTAACACGCATCAAAAATTTGGAAGTACAAGAACGCAGTGACATGTAACGATTATCTCGTCGCTCAAACTATGGGATGGTTATTTGAAATCGAGCAAATTAATACGACAAGCTTGAACAAGAGATCAGGCTTTGTTGTAAAGATTGAAATGCTTCTCAATTTCCCTCTCTTCTCTGCTTCTCTTCCCCCTTGATATTCTTTCGATCAACGTACTCCATGCCTGTTCCCGAGTGCGTGTTACTCCCACTCTTTGAGTGTTCTTTTTGCGCTTCATAGTCTTCTTGATCCCGCGCTGCTTTCTGGGGAGTCTTGGCGGACTTCTGAACGCCAAATGTGTCCTTGTGGTGGGAGGGGTCGTTGACTTGGTCTGAAAACCTGGGTGTCAGCGAAGAAGCACTCGTGGCATTGAAGCCCTGCGGGAGAGAATGTACCGGGCATGGTTGCTAGCAGTGGGCTGTAACTATTGCATGAACTTTCCAAGATGATGCTTTAACTTTGGTTTCTAAGGCACCTCTAAGTATATGAATACTCTTTTGAAAGGCATTGTGTAGATGTCATCAAAACCTGGGATTTTGTAAACGTCAATATGATGGATCGCGACTCGGTCTAAGGCTCCTTCTTCGCATCAACATATTTCCACACACCGCACATGAGGGAGAAGCTTAGGATTGTCAACTTCGATTTATTCGCGTTCAAGAAGTTTCGCTAATGTGTTCTCGAACACCCGCTGACCCGATGAGGTGGTTCTGTGTAGGTGTTCCTGATCGACGGTCCTAACCCCGCATCTGCCAACCACCTCATTCCCAATCATATTAACCCTTCTTCTCCTGACCCTTACCGCTGTCCTTTTTGTCTGCGTCTTTCTTCGATGCATCGCCCTTGTCGTTGGATGTCTGAGGAGCTGGTGCGCCACTACCGCTGTTCATGAACTTGTCATCGAGTTGGTCTATAAGAGGATTAGCTATGAGAACATACGACATCGAACACAGAAGGCGTACCAGACATATTTTGGTATACGAAGAGAAGGCGAAGTAGGGTTGAGTTTGCTGAGAAGGCTTTGGTTTGTAGAGGAGAAGGGGAAGGTGGTCAGACTTTGGAATGCGGTTTTGCAGTACCTGTCTGGTGGTACGGCATGCGACATGACGTTGTTGTGCCTTTCCCCCTCACTTGACTACTAGGCTAGGATCTAGATGCTGCAGGGCGTTAGTCTGGCCGTTTAGCCGTTCCAGGACATCTGTGCAAGGTCTCACGAGGGAATATTACGAAGAAGTGGGAGGCTGGGGACGATTTGAGTTGTTGTTCGAGGTAGGTACTATTCATCTTGCAAGTGAAGCTAGGAATCGCGCGAAGACCAGTGCGATTTGCAATCGACCAGAGAACCTAACATCATCCCTAACGACGGCCTCTACCACCGCGCGACCCGCGACTACCCCTGTCACCACCGTGACCACCCCTGTTTGGGAAGAACGACGGCTTTCGCCAACTACGGTTACGAAACCACCGTCGGTCATTGTACGTGACAAGCACACCCTCGGCGATGTCTACATCAGGTTCCTTGGCCTGGCGCATGAGGAAAAGCTGACTCTGGGTCAACGGCATGATGGAATAGCCAGCGGCGATACTGTCAGTAATGGTGCGACGCAAGAACGCTGTGAACTGTGACTGGGACGGGAGTTCCTTAAGACCCATCTTAGCCAGGAACTGCGGAAAGGTGTTGAACTCGTGGATCTCACGGATGTCCTCAGCCATGCGCGTTGATGTGCCTTGCGGAGGAGCCCCATGCGCGTCGAACAAGGAGTCGCGTAGCTCGATAAGATTCTTGTTGGGCGGGCGAGCTGCTGAGCTGAACATTTTCATGAACATGATGAGGCGGTACGAGGTGGGCGAGGCAGCGTACGTCATCTTGGTACGGTATCTGGAGATCGCTGAAGGCTCCAGGTATGCAAGCTCAGCCATACCAGCACCTTTCTCGTCGAGCATCCATACAACGTTGCGTAAAATTGCTTCTCGGATGACTTCGTACGTCAGTTCTTCGGTCAACCCCGCATCGCAGATGAGAGTCGCTATCAGTACATGGCCAAGATCAGGGAACTGCGTCTTCGTACGCGGGCCGACCATAAAACGCTGGATGATCTTGTTAGCACTAACGACAATCTCCTCATGCTCGGTTGCAAGGCATAGCAACAGATGAAAGAGACCGAAATAGGCGTCAACGGCTTTTTCCGATGCGTGACTTAGGGTGCTACGTTCATCAGGACCAGCATAACCTTTTTCCGCATCGGATGAGAACTGAACGACAACCGTGTTCATCATGCGATACAATACGTCCACATGGTAAGGCTCATGGCTGGGCATGGTCGCGGTGTTGTGAATGTTCCGGAGGCATGCATTCACCTCCGTCTTGACTTGATTCCAATGACGTCGGCTGAGCGGCATAGGTAGCCAGTTGTCGAAAGAAACACCCTGAACACTGTTTCGGACACCGTATACGGAGAATGCCTCCCAACTCAACAGATCGAACTCGGATCGGAAGACTGACCGATTGCCGCTCTTGGTGGAGACGCCTATGCCGAGCTTGCTGTTCAGGAATGATCGCTTAAGGCAAAAGCATTGTAATTCGCGGATCCGAATAAAGTCGTACGAGCTGACCATGGTCTTGATGGAAGGAATAGCCTCGGCAAAGGCCAGAATGTCACGAGTCTCGAGCTCAGTGAGTAATGCGAGAACGATCTCATCTGATAGCATGAACAACCTTGAGAGCGGATTTGGATGTCGTAGTGGAAGAGATACAAGAGTGGGCACGGGCGCTGAGTCGACCTCCATTTCATCAGTCCGTGTCGACGATGAGCTGATTCCGAATCCACAAGAATAGCATACGAACTGATGTGTAAGTCTCCCATCTGCCTGAGTAACTTGCTGCCGGTACTGAGTCAAGTTGATGGTATTGTTACCATGGTCCTGCTCGAGGGAGTCGCTGCAGAAGAAGCTTAATAATTGAATGACGATACCCTTCAAGGTATACGCTGGTGTCCAACCCTCTTTAGTATTAAGCATCGTAGCACAAATGTAGTCACCGAAGACATTGGGATGAATGATTTGACTTTGAATCTTGATTTCTGGCGCAATCAGTGGATATCGGTCTGGAAAGCTGATCGTGAGGTGGAGCGGCTCCTGTCTATCCGGAGTGAGGACGAGGCACGCCTTCGTGACGTCGTTGTCATTGAACTTGAGGTTGACATTAGGATATGGATCTTGCTTGGTCTCTGCGATGTCTTGAAGGAGCCGACGACGCAGGGAGTTTGACTGAACCATATTAGCTTGGTAATGTGCCATGATCGTGAAAGAATAGTATGAGGTTGAGATCGCAGAGTTGTTGTTCAACCGAGATAATGATGAAGAAGATTTACAAAGAGAAGGGAGAGGTTATAGTACCTAGAGGATGTGCAAGTCCAGGCTGAGACACACACGTGACTAGGCAGCGGCGATAAACGAATAGGAATGTGGGTCACAACGCCCTTATGGGCAAGCTACCACATCGACATCTTACCGCTGTATTGAACATCTGTGGTCGGTTCTGTGGAGTCATAGCGTCGTTTTTCTAATTGGTCAGGTTGTCTGCATAGCACACAGGCATGTTTCAAGCAACCTTCTGTAGGACCATGATGGAGTGGAGTGAGTGAGGGCTATAAATGACACGCGCAGCCTTCTTAACAAGATCAGTTCATAAACTGGATAAGGAAGAACCACATAGACCTCATCTCCTTCAGCAAATTCCGCTCAAACGAGACATTCTGGCGCCCTTCCGCTGCGGAACTTAGAAAAGGGCGCTATGATGTCTACTTGTTAGGCTCCAGGAAGCTACTAGTTAGTACTATACTGAGCTTGCTCCATTGAGTTTCGATAGATTTGGTCTATAAATCCTTCGTAGTACGAGATCCTGTCGAGATGGAAATGAAGACAAAGTAAGGTTGGCACATAGGGTATGCCATTGCTCATAGGATATTATCCTGACGAGCGTTTGCCATACATTTGAACGTGTTTCCCCAGTATGATCATGTTCACAGGACTAAGCCCGCCTAGGCATGTCGTTGTTCTCGGATATTGCGTTTCAAGCCAAGCTGAAGCGATACGAGCAGCGAAATTAAACCTGAACGTTTGTGCAACCGGACACAGCGCGCATTGGCATATTTAGAAAACTGAATGCGAGAAATGCGAGCATAAATTATATAGCTTGACATACAAAGACACTCCTATTGGGTAGATCTGATGTGCAAGTGTTTGCTAAGAATGGTTGAGATGGAGAGTGAGTAAGAGATGCCGACAGTACCACCATCTCCACGTTGTGCGGTCAAAGAACACGAAGAATGCGAGAATAAATTGATACAGCCAAGGAAGTCATGATCGCATGTCTGAGATATAAGAAGCCCTTACCAGTCGACTATCTGAACCAGTCGCCATACCAAGACCTCATTGCAGTCAAACAAGCACATCATGAAGATCACAGCCCCGGCCCTCGCTTTTCTCACGTCCACTGCTTTCGCCCTAGACCCTACAGTCTATCGCGACCCTCTCGTCGGAATAGAGAAACGTGCCATCGTCGGCGCAACCGTCCTCGTAGACGGTCTACGTTACCGAACGTGTCCAAAGACGAGCTGCACAGCTCCGGGCCAGTACGCTAAAGGTACCAAGATCAAGTTGAGCTGCTTTACCAGGACGGATACGACTACGGTGAATGGCGACAAGTAAGTAACAGCATCAATCCGAAAGGTATGGTAACGGATCAAGCTAACGTGAATGAAGAGGCTGGGCCAAGGTCTCTGGTGGCGTTGGTAATGGAAGATGGGTTGCATTGGCTGGGGGCACGTACGTGACTTGGGATGGTATGCTAATTCCGTATTCGACCTTGAGTGGAGGCAGTTCACTGACCTGAGACAGCACCATTGAACGCTTGTTGAGATTGGGGTCCATATTGGGAGGTAGTAATGCTATCATACTATCCTCGCTCACGCGTTTGCGACGAGCTTCATGATGAATTCGCTGTTGTCTAGTTGAGAATACGACAGACAGCTGTATTGGAATAGCAGAACCTATATTGGAACTCCCGCCTTTCCCCAAGTAACTTGTGCATCAGAAGTTGATCGTGCTACAAGCTTGTGACCCGTGATGGCTACATTCTTCCACTTCAGATTCGTACAGTTAATTGTGCCTTTGAACTTGCGACAGTCATTGCCAGCGAAGACGATGTATCCTAGTTCTGTTTCGTGGCTGCCAGCCTTTCTGGGTACACTTTGAGCAGCATCCATAGATTCGCCGCTCCATCGAAACCAGAACTTTGGAGAGCGAAAGCTGTTCTTCTCGAATGTCTCGAAGCGTGTTCTTTCGGGAGATTCAGGCTCGGTATTATCGCTCTCCTCTTCTTCCTCGTCATCGTGCCCGTCGTCTTCCTCTTCGTTCGATTCATCCGGTTCCACCTCTGCAATCGTTCGCCTAAGACTGTCACGACTGCCGGCTAAGATGACCGACGCTTGTAATACTCCTGGCAAAGACAGTCGGCCAACGACACCCTCGCCACCTTCGGTGAGACGATACAACTCCAGCGATGCATCCTGTTCTGGCGGAGCATCTCCGTTGGCACTTAAAGCTTTCTGCCATGCTGGACATTTTACTGAATAACTTGCAAATGTTTTGCGCACATCGAACGCGGCCGTGTGTTTGGACTTGCTACCGCGACCGTTGCGGTTGTGCATATGTCGCGACGAGAAGGCGGCATCCTGCCAGTCGTCCATGGCGAATGATTGGGGTACGTAGGGAATTCACACTTCCTTCTGATGGTTTTCTTAAACTCGCGTGCCTCGTTGCGAAAGTGAGTTGACGTCATAGACTAGCAGAAGAACAATGTGGGCGACTAGACAAAGCATGCAGTCAGCCTGGCTCTTTCGTTCCATCAGAGTGGGTGGATGAGCTACAGACACGAGGACCAGTGAAATGAAGGTGCATCGCGGGGTAGGCATGCGGCACACCTCCAGCCTGTTTATATTATTGTTTCTTCCACGATGCAAGCCATACGCTCGTGATCAGGCCAATCAGCTGTGGCCTTCCGCGACAGACTTGCTAACTGTTCTTGTGTCTCTGGTAGATTCCATCGTTTCGTGCAATGGGAATCCAGCTAGAATGCCATGTTGGAAGACAACATCATATCTTACGGGACGGGTCGAAATCTTTACCGTGATCATGTAGCTATAGCTCAAGTCTTAAGTTAGTTGGGAGCTGATACCGCCACTTTAGGCCAGAAAATGAGAGGATGGTGTTTACATGGTATCGCCCACCTTGGCAGGTGCTCTGCAGTGCTCACGTGAACAGGCGTCTGTCGCAAAACGGGAGTCGCGAATCGCTCCGTCAGCGCCGCCCCAATCACCAACGCCAGCGATGCCACCCAAAGGCTCCAAAAAGTCAGCGCCTGCGCCACCGAACAAGACGCTCGTTCTTGATAATGGCGCATACTCGATCAAAGCCGGTCTCGTTCCCAGCGGTGTCGAATATACCTACGACGAATGCCGCGTGATTCCGAACTGCATCGCGCGGAGCACGCGCGATAAGTGCACCTACGTCGGCGCCGAACTGAACTCGTGCAAAGACTTCGGAGAGTTGGCATTCCGCCGTCCGGTGGAGAAGGGCTTCATCGTCAACTGGGAGGCAGAGAAGGCGATATGGGAGCACGAGTTCATGGGAGACGCCATGGGGGAGGGGCTGAGGGTGGGTACGCACAATCGCGAGCTTATGGCGGACGCATTGGCTAACGGTGCATAGTGTGACCCAAAAGATACAAACCTGCTTCTGACGGAGAAGCCAAATTGTCCAAAAGAACTACAGAAGAACTGCGACGAGATCATATTCGAGCAATTCGAATTTGCTGCGTACTACCGATGCGTGGGCGCGACACTGAACGCCTATGCTACCCCCCAGGCGCACACTGAGTCCTCGTTGTTGTCGCTACCGCGAGAATGCCTCCTGATTATCGATACCTCCTACTCAGACACGACCATCCTACCTCTCTACAATGGGAAACTCATACAATCGGCGGTGCGGCGGCTCACAGTAGGTGGGAAGCTGCTCACAAACTACCTAAAGGAGCTTTCTTCGCTGCGACACTACAACATGATGGAGGAGACATACCTGCTCAACGAGATCAAGGAAGCAGTGTCATACGTCGTGCCTTCATCGCAGCACTTTGCCAATGACCTAGAGCGAACATGGAAAGGACGACTGGGAGATAGAAGAGAGCTAGATTCGAGCATTGTAGTCGACTATGTGCTGCCAGACTACGAGAACGCGATACATGGCCACGCGCGACCCCACGATCCTGCAAAATCACGCATGCGTCGGGGGCTACAAGCGCCACAAGGACCAAGGGAAGATTTACTGCCATTAGGGAACGAGCGTTTCGCTGTGCCAGAGCTGCTCTTCAATCCCTCTGATATTGGCATACAGGAAGAAGGCATACCTGGCGCCGTCATGCAGTCGCTGAGTGCATTACCCGAAGCTCTCAGGATAGGTCTGCTAGCGAATGTTGTGGTGGTAGGCGGAAACTCGCTGATTTCTGGCTTTATGGAACGACTGCGAACAGAATTGAGGGCTCTGGTGCCTGCAGAATATCCGCTGAACGTAGTACAGGCAGATGACCCAATCAAGCATACATGGCTAGGAGGAGCAAATGTTGCTAGCCAACCCGAGTTGCTGAAGGAGTTGCTGGTCACCAAGGCCGAGTACGACGAGAGGGGCTCTACCTGGCTAGTAAAGAAGTTTTCATGATAGGCAATTCAAAATAAGCAGCAACCGCGACATCGTTTGTAGATGTACTGCATCAATTCCAGTCGTGTGACGATTTGAGCTGAAGCTGCTGCACTGCTCGGGGCTGCTGTGGCTGTGATTGGCTCATGTCCGGCGGCTTGGCGTGCTGGTCAATATGTCGAAGGAATTTCCGGTCCACGGGCATCACCCGCATCTCGAACCCAATGCGCCGAATACCGCGCCCCTCGCGGGCAACTGATCCCTCAAATCTCCTGTCCACATCGATACGGCAGACACTGTCGCCATTGCCTTGTCGCTCCGCCGTGTCGCCCTGCACCCATCTCCGCAATGCAACCGCCACTTTCTCCACAACCACACCTCAGTCGTTCCTCCTACCGGGCAAGCAAGACAAGAAGAAGCACCAGCAGTTCGTACGGAGATGGCAGAAGCGTCTGCTCGGCGACTCGGAGCCCATTGGCGCACACGTTGACCCATACGACCCAACATCACCCGTCCGAATAGCACCCGAAGACCAGGGCGAATACGAAGAGGTGCTTGAGGAAGACCCCAACTTCCCCAAATACCGACAAGCAAAGAGCATAGCCGGCCTCCAGCGTGTCGGCGGCGACGAGTGGCTCAGGCAGAAAGTCGAAAAAGACATAGCCAAGGAATTCGAGAAACTGACACTACGCACTTATACGCCGCTGACGCTGGGCATGGCCGATGAAATTGAAGAGCTCACCGGTACCCCATACACTCTCAAGGACGAGAACTTGATGATGGCGCAAACGATGCACGAGAAGACGAACCGGCCGTATACCCAGTACAACTTTGGCCTCCATTCCAAAGCCTCCCGCGTTACCGACATCCGCGCTCGCTTTACGCAAGCTGTCGCCGAGATCTATGCTCTGAAGCAAGCCGGTATCGACATGGACTTGTCCAAATTCGCTAACCGAGGTGTGTACGACCGGCCACGCTGGGTCAAGGATGTCAAGTTGGTCAAGACAGAAAGCGGCGAACTTGCTCTTGCCTTGCCGGAGCACAAGAACCTGGATGATCTTCTGGCAACGATGCAAAGAGCACCATCTTGGGAGGCTGAACAAGCGGAACCAGATGAACTCCTTGTTGAGGAGGTCATTGAGGAGCTCGACGGTACCAATCTTCCACAAGAGCAAGTACCGACCATGGATCCCGAAACACCAGCATACAAGAAGGCAGCAGTGGTCAAGCAGGATGCTGAGAAGCCGTTTGATTTCATGTCGAACCGGCCAGTACCCCGCGCAAAGCCCGTGGCGGAGCAAGTCAGTCAGCCAGTCTTTGAGGAAGTGGTGGTTCAAGAAACCCTCAACACCCCTCCTGTCCATGCAGCCGATTCTAAGCCCGTCAACGAAGTCGCTCCAGCAGCAGCGAGCGAGTCGCGACATGCTATCCTCGAGGAAAGAGCGCAGCGCTTGGCCGCCGACTTTGCAGCTCTGAAGAAGTCGGTTCAGCAAAGCAGGGCACAGTCTTCTGCCACCAAATCCGAAGACACCAAGTGGCGACATATCCCTGTCACTGACATTGACGTCAAGTTCGCTGTAAGCCTACTCACGAAATTTACCTGATATCCGCTGACATTCGTAGCTGTTCAAACGGCTTTACCAATTGACCGGCTTCCGCATCTCAGACCCGCACCTATCTTCAGCACAAACCCTAGGCGATCTATACAGCTACCTCTTGGAGGCCGCCAAACCTCAACCGACCAGTCTTTACTCCGCTATCCACGTAGAAGGTCAGAAGGCACGTGAACGAGCGAAGCAGCAAGCCGCATCGGAAGCCGCTACCAAGCGACGGGCCGATCTGGGCGACTTGATCAATCTGGGCAATGTCGAGCTACGCCGCGTCAAGGCTAACAAGACCGAGAAGCGCAGCAAGACCGGTCTAGACAAGGTGGTAAACTATGCTCTGCGGGAGCGTGGTCTAGGTAATGGAGTGCCTTCCAGGATTCAAGAGATAAGAGCGAAGAAAGCACGCAGTGTAAGGCATGTGCGAACACAGCGTGAATTCGTCAATCCCTTGAGCAGTAAGGCTGCCAAATTTCTGGAAACTAGGACGCAATAGTTGAAATCAGCACAACAATCAGCTGTCTAGGTTGGATTATGAATACTCATGCACTCAATGTAAGGGT